CGTTGGAGGTTCCCTCACATGGAGGTTGTAAGTACTTTATTACTTTCATTGATGATTTCAGTAGAAAACATGAGTTTACTTTCTGAAGCAAAAGTCTGAAGCATGTGATGTTTTCAAACAATTTAAGACTTTTGTTGAAAAGCAAAGTGGTTATGAGATTAAAATGTCAAAAACTCAAAATCAATAACTTATTATAATTGTTAAACCAGGTAATTAATAATAAGTTAGTTTGTTAACAAGCAATTGAAGTGTGGTAGTGGGTCTGCAGAACATGGAGCATGGATTAGCATTAGATATATTATATTTAATATATATTATATTATATTATATTATATTTCATTCAAAAAAAATATTATATTATATTTAATATATCTTACATTTGGTATCAGAGCCAGTCAACCTTTCAACCCCGAGATATTTTCCGTAGTGAAATATGGCTGCAAATTTCAATATTGTATGGTTGGGTCCCAAATTGGACGGGAAACTCGATTACAATTATTGGCAAATTATGATGTCCACACATTTGAAAGCTCAAAATCTTTGGAGCTTTGTTGATCCCGATTTACTCGAAGGAGCTGACGCAGCCGCTATCCGGCGAGATCAGTTGGCCTTGGGACAAATTCATCAAGGTGTTCACTACTCCATTTTGGGCAATTAGCTCGTGCTCAAACAGCAAAGCAAGCTTGGGACATCTTAAAGGTGTCAAACAAAGGAGTCGATCGGGCGCAGAAGTCTAAGTTGCAGTCGTTGAGAAGGTTGTACGATAATTGTGAGATGACCTCTACAGAAACAGTAGACGCGTATTTCACTCGTCTTATTGATATGATGAATAAGATGAGGTTATACGGAGATACAATTGAAGATGGTGCAGTGGTTGAAAAAGTTCTACGACTATGCCGATGAAGTATGACCATGTGGTGGCTTCAATCACAGAGTCACACAAAACCGAGCTCTTATCAATTGCAGAGCTGAAAGGTATGGTAGAAAGTCATATTGACAGAATTGCGTCAAAATCGGAACCACTAGCTGAAGAAGTTTTGAAGAGTCAAGTCACCCTTAATGTGACTGGCACTAATCAAAGAGGTGGAGGATCTAGTAGAGGTCGTGGAAGAGGAAAAGGAGGTTATGGTGGAAGAGGTTGTTGTAACTTCAACCAAGGAGGAGGAAATGGTAACTCCAACCAAGGAAGAAGTGGAGGTAATACCAAACAAGGAGGTAAATTTCCATTTCATTGCAAGTATGGGCACAAGATTGCAGATTGTTGGTATAATGAGGACAACAATCGTGGAAATCAAGTAAAACATTTTATTCATTCCTCTCTCTCTTCTCAATATATATAAATATAATATATAGATATATTATATTTAATATATATTATAGATATATTATATTAAATATATTATATTTAATATATCTTACAGATTCTCATGTTTGGTTCAGGTTATGTAATTTTTTTCAGGGAATGTCACATAACTTCCATATTGAGTTTTTAGCTATTGGAAGGGAATGTGAGATACCCTCCAATTTCTTAGGTAATCTCACATTCCCTTGTCTTATTATTGATTTTGAGTTTTTGACATTTTAATCAATTTGTCTTGTTCTTATTTATATACCTTAGATTTAAATCAAACACAGGAATCTAACATTCCTAGTAATCTAACATTCCCAGCAATTTAACATTGCCTAAGATAATCTAACATTACGTGAACCAAACGCCCCTTAGGTTCTTATTTTTTCTGGACAATTCATGACTAATCCAGTCTTGATTCCCGAATGGAGGCAAATTATGCCCTGGAAATGTGTTCACCGAGAATGGTGAACACAAGGCTAAACGACGTCGCGGATGTGGAGTTAACAGCGCGCGTTGATCAAATTATGAATTTTCTGTTATGAGATTATGAATTTTCATAAAATTCATAATCTCATAACAGAAAATTCATAATCGCATAACAGAAAATTCATAATCTCATAACAGAAAATTCATAATCTCATAACAGAAAATTCATAATCTCATAACTGAAAATTCATAATCTTATAACAGAAAATTCAAAATCTCATGGTTCCAAAGTGAATGTGTAGGCATGGTTCCAAAGTGAATGTGCAGGCATGGATTCATAATTTATGAATGTCCGTGATTTCGGACGAAAATGTGTAGGCATGGTTCCAAAGTGAATGTGCAAGCATGAATTCATAATTTATGAATGTCCGAAATCATTGATCACCTCAAATTAAAGTGAAACCGCAAAATGTGAAAATGAAGAAGAAAAGTCACGCAATTAATTAAGAAAAAAAAAAAAAAAAGAAATAACGGTGTACTCATGGTGAACACGGTTCCATGGCATAACGCTCCCCGAATGGACCTATGGTCGCCTCTTATTCAAGTTCTAAGCAATTCATTCATTTATGATTTATTTCTTTCTTAATTGATTGAATTTTTCAGTAGCAAGTTAGCAACAAATAAAATTGTCTAAAATTGACTAATGTTATTTCTCACTCCTAAATTGACTCTCTCATGCATCTTTTTTTTATTTTTGGTATATCGTTTATGTAGTGTGGTACAGTCTTGATATTATACTCATAGACGTAAATGAAGATTCATCCTGTAACATTTCCCAAGACGACAATGATCTTGCTGAGCTACTTATAATGTCAAAACTTATCATTTGGATGAAGTGTCAATCAGAGGCGGACCCACAGCCCACTCCTCCCCGCCCCACAGCCTCCCCACGCCATATTATATATATTGTATGTATAGGTCCTTATATAGATAATAAACGTTTATATATTAAATATACTAAGTTTTAAATAGAAGTTAATCTAGCTTAGATGGTAAGGCTACTTATTCCTACATGGATAGGCCTGGGTTTGAAACTTGCAAAGTATGTTTGCTTTTGAATTCTAATTGTTTCTTCTTTTTTTTTTTTTTTTTTTTTTTTTTTTTGATAACATTGTGACTTCTTCTCTATTTTATTTTTATTTTTACTTTTTAATATTAATAGTGTGATGACTAATTTATAATGTGTTTTCCATTCAAACTATTTTATCTAATTAATTATGTTTTATATTTTTTATTGTGATGTATTTTAAGTTTTCATCTTCTTTAATTAAGGCTATGTATCTAAGTGTTTTATTTTTTTTTTATGTTTCAAAATATCCCGTTAATAAAATTCTCGCCCCCACTGGAGAAGATTTATGGGTCCGTCACTGGTGTCAATGATGCATAAACATTGCTTTGAGGCGTTGGATCGAACTATGAAGGATCTGTTACGATTTGTGAATCCTTTGAGTTCAAGTAGTATAACATTTGGGGGAAAACAGTGGTTATTGGTGATGATTTTTGATAAATACTACATGTAATTCTCAAGGGAAAAAAAAAAGACATTGTTGGGCAATTATAAACTCTTCATATATTTGGAATAGTTGTAAAGTGTTAAGTTTGACTAAAAATTTAAGATTACAAAGAGTAGGAAATGTTGATACCTTTGAATAAATAGATGCTTTTTCAAAATGAATTGTTGATGTATATAGGTGATGGTGAGACACAAGGTTGCAAAAATCGCTAGGCGCCCTCTAGGCGCCTGGGGACCGCCTAGGGCGCCTAGAGCGATTAATCGGCGCTTAGAGCGCCTAGGCGGCGACTAATTGGAGACTAGGCGCGATTTTTGCAACACTGGTGAGACATGTGGGACTAATGATGGTTTTGCAAATATAGAAATCTCGAAAGATAATTTATTACAACCCCAAGATTATCCAATTGCAACAATAGTTAATATATTCCCTATGTTTTTTTTTTTTTTTTTTTTTTCTGATACTTGTGATTTAGAATATTTGAATGGTCGTGCAATTTTAACACCAACATATATTGGATGTACTTGATGAGATCAATGAGTATATGAGTAGCTTGAATCCAACTGAGGGTAGAATGTATTTCAGCTCTGATTTTGTTTGTTAATCGGATTCTGGTTCAGATACATTATCCCAATTGCACACCCCCAAAGTTTTTGAATAGGTTAAAATGCTCGGGGATTCCAAATTATTCTCTTGCTTTAAATGTGGGGTCTTCAATCAGGCTTTCATGGAACATTGGTTATTCACTGGGTTTGTGTAATGACACGAAATTGGTTATTAGTAAATTAGGAAATCATGTTATTGAAGCAAAGATTATGTTAAGAAATAATTTGGGTACTCGAATTTTGATCCCGAGATTGACATTGACTCCATCAGATCCTCAGTTGACATTTAAGTTCCAAAAGGACAATTCCATCTAATGTTATCTTATGCAATAACAATAAAAAAGAGCCAATGTGTCTTTTGAATCTTATGTAATAACAATAAACAAGAGCCAAGGTGTCTTTCAAATGTTGGATTACTATTGAAGAAACTTGTTTTTGTACATGAACAACTGTATGTAGCTCTATCTAGGGTTATCAATCTTAAAGTTATTATTTTAAGCCAAAATGAAGAGTACTCTTATTCAAAGACAAATGTTGCGTATAAGGAAGTTTTTAACAATTTGTAAAGTTTAGTATTGATGTTTAGGCTTTTTGCAAAATTAATATTAATTATATTTAAAATATTTTATAATATATGAATTGCTTTATGTTAACTTGTATTTTTAAATAAATAGTATTATTATAATATTGCCTAATATTTATTCTTCCCAAAAGATTAAATCCCAACTCCAGCCCGACCTTTTTTTACTGTGCACAAGGAGGTCCCCTTATTTTGAGAGTTTGCTTCCAAAGTGTCATTAGTGAGACTTGATCCCTGTCATTATTTCTAACTTTCACATCTACGATCAGTTGAGCTGTTTATGGGACTATGGCCTAAAATTCATCCGTGCACGGTTGGCGGTAGCGTACTAGTATACTTAAAATCTAAGCCGAAAAGGGGTGTAGTTTAAAACGGCAAAGTTGAGCAATTAGGTTAAAACTCTGATATGATCTTTCGGCAAAAAGCAAAAATATTTTGCAGCTTAATTCCACCGCCGACCGGTAAGAATGGCGGATTGTGAGGGAGGCAAAATGGCGGCTCTAATTCCGTGTGGGCAGAGTAAATTAGGGTGGAATTTATTGTGCAACGAATTGGTGTGCGAGATACTTGTAAGACTACCCACAACAGCAGCCGTTCGATTCCAATCGGTTTGCAAGCTCTGGTATTCTCTCATCTCTTCTCCTTACTTTATTGCCCGCTTCCGTCACCATCATAACCATACAGATGATGATGTTCAACCAAGCAGGATTGTTTTCCGATTTGCATATCCTTGTAACTGCACCCGTCACTCTGGTGGCTGCAACCAATGCCATTCTCACTTCCAAATCATCTCCAACTCTTCTTCCTTATTGCGAAAGGTGTACGGAGAGAGTGCATTCCGTTTAAGTTATCTCCCATGTCTCCCTAAACAGCTTCGATTGGAAGGCTCCTTTGCTGACTTAATCTTATGCTCTTGCCTTATTACCAACAAAATTGATTATTATGTCTCCAATCCGCTCACCAGACAATGGATTGCTCTCCCTCCAGCTGCCTATGATTGCTTAGTGCAGTATGTCTCAATTGGCTTTTTATATGTGGAGGATGCTTCTCATCATAACAAGTTCATGGTGGTGAGGCTTCGTACGTGGTGTAGTACTGCGAGTACACCTTGTTCCTGGTTTAAAGCCCAAGTCTTTTCTTCAGAGAACTGGCAATGGAGGAGTTTGGTTGTTTCATCCCCTCTGAGCTTGAATCACCACAGAGGGAGAAATCCTCTTGTTGCCTATAGAGGGATGCTGCATTGGCTAAACAGTGATTGTATTGTGGTGTATGATCCACTTAATACCCCGGAAAGATTCTCTCGTGTCATTGGTCTTCCATTTTCAATTCAAATATATCCCTCCGAAATTTACAGAAATAATTATTGCTTTGGAGTAAGTCAAGGTTGTCTTCGTGTAGTTAAAGTTGTTTCAGATGAATATATAATAGGTCCCATACTGGATGTATGGGAACTGGAGGACTATGACTCTGGGTTGTGGAATTTGGTTCACAAGGTTCACCTTACAAATCTGATACATAATGAGTTATTTGAAAGTTTGCAGAGTGAATTGCCTTGTTTCGAAGGACTAAGTCTCCATCCTGAAAATGGGGATGTTATTTATTTACGGTTATTTAATGGGGTAGTCCTTGTCAACATGAAAAGCAAAATAGTTGAGCAATTCTACCCAATAAATGAGAGGGTGTTGTTTTGTTGGAGGGATGCCTTTCACCTTGTTGACCAGGCGTGGCCAACAGCATTATCATTACTGCGGCACTAATCATATGGTAGGGCTGGCTATGTGTGACTTATTTTTAATTTCTTGCTTCTTGCTTTCCAATTCAATAGTAGAAACAAACTTCTTTTGTCTACAAACATTATAAACTTTGTTTATGGATGGGGACCACGTGGTTGTGTTTTTGTCTGCACTTAACTGCTTTTGTCTACAGTATAAACTTTTTTTTTTTTTTTAACTTTTGTTGATTATTATCTCTTTATTTTATCTAGATGGTGAGGAAAAATCTGTTTTTACAGTAAAACTGCATCTTGGTGGGGATTTTGTATTGAAACCTAGGTTTAGTTATAAAAATGGGATAGTGGAGTATTTTGACCATTTTAATTGTGATTTTGGTAGTATTCTAGATTTGAGAAGGATGGTCAGAATGCTTAGGTTTTGTGACAAAAAAGTCCAATTTTGGTATAAGGTTGTGAACAAAAGAAAACCTACAGTTTTAAGGATAAATAGTGATGCTGATATCCTAGGGTTGATTACTAAGATTCCAGTGAACAAAGAGGTGGACATATATGTAGAGAATTTGCATGAAAATCAATGGGACTATGATGTAGAAATCTCTAGGGAACTAGGAGATGATGTCTTATTGCATGATGGAGATGCTAATATGGATACTGATGAAGGAGGTGATGAAGTTGAAGGAGATCAGATGATGAAGTTGAAGGAGGTGATGAAGGACAACCTGATCTTGCAAACAATCTTAGGGACACTGCTACTAGTTCAAAACAGAAGGTGGTTGAGGGTTTTGTGGAGATTGAATGTGAGTTTTCTGAACAAGTACTAAGGAGTTTGTGTGATTCAGATTCAGAGGGGCAAGTTCATGGGCCATTAAATGTGTTTGAAGAGAGAAATTTTAAAAAGGAAGAGTTTAAATTTCTGATTGGAATGGTGTTTAATTCTTCTAAAGAATTCAAATGGGCAGTTCAATACCATGAAAGTCTGAGGCAGAAGGATGTTATGTTTAAGAAGAATGAGGGAAGAAGAGTTAGGGTAGTGTGTAGACACCATAAGATATGCAACTGGTCTATTTTTTTTTTTTTTTGTTCAAAATGCAATCCAGGTTCTCCATTTACTATCAAGACTTACAATTTTGTTCACACATGTGGGAATCAAGATGAGAACAAGGTTGTAACTTCTGGATTTTTAGCAAAATTCTTCAAGGAAGATTTCAGAGTGAATACAGAACGGGGTAGATGACCATTTCAGGAGCATGTGAAGTCCAAATTCAACAACCAGCTAACTAGAAACCAAGCATATTTGGTAAAAAAAAAAAAATCTTTAAAGCAAATAGATGGGCAAGACTTAGAACAGTTCAAGCTACTGAATGACTATTGTGAAGAACTTAGAAGAAGTAACCCTGGAACCACTGTCAAAATGAAGTTAGACAGTGAATTTAGTGTGAATGGAAGGCCTAGGTTTCTAAGGCTTTACATTTGCTTTACAGCTTGCAAGGAAGGGTTTGTTAGGGGCCGGGGTGTAGACCTATTATTGGGGTTGATGGCTGCCACCTAAAGGGTGCTAAAAAAGGAGGGATATTACTGAGTGCTATAGGTTTAGATGGTGATAATAGCCTTTTTCCAATGGCATTTGCCATTGTGGAGGGTGAGTTGTAGGAAACATGGTCATGGTTTTTAGAGCTATTGGACAGTGACTTAAACATCTCAAATAATCCTGGTGCTTGGACAATCATTTATGATAAATAGAAGGGCTTAATACCTGCTGTGGAGAAACTATTTCCAGGGCTTAAACATAGGTTTTGTGCTAGGCATCTATATGCAAATTTTATGAAGGATAGGTTTACAGGTCATTCCCTGAAAATGCACTTCTAGGCAGTGTGTAAGGCTACTACTGAGGCAGATATCCAAGCAAAAATGGAGGAGCTAAAGTTGGAGAATCCTAAGGCATTTGAATGGCTAAGTGCAAGGGATCCAAAACACTACTCTAGGGCATTTTTCAGCACATTTCCAAAGTCAGATTTGCTACTTAATAATCTGTGTGAATCCTGGAATAGTTGCATCCTAAATTTCAGGGATAAGCCAATACAAACAATGGTTGATAAGATAAGGTTATATTTGATGATTAGGATGCAAAAGAATAGGGACAAAATGAGTTGTCATCCCTTCACGGTCTGTCCAAAAATTCAGAAAATCCTAGAAGAAGGAAAAGACATATATTGTAGATTCAATGCATATAAATTAAATCTGTTAGTGATATTTATCAAGTTGATGATGACAGCTTCAAGCCTTTCAAGATTGATCTAAGTGCTAGGCAATGTAGTTGCAGAAGATGGGACTTCACTGGCATACCTTGTACACATGCCATTGCAGCTATAAGGAAAAAGGGTGATATTCCAGAAGATTATGTCCATCAATGTTATACAGTGGAGCAGTACATGAGAGCATATGGCCCTGCAATATTGCCTATACGAGCTCCAGAATTATGGCACAAAACTAGTCTACCACCTGAAATCCCACCAAAGTATAAGCCACAACCTGGGAGGCCAAAGAATAAGAGAAAGATAAATCCAACTGTAGAAAAGCCAGATCAAACAAAATCTACTAAACAAGGTGAAGTTAAAAAGTGTAGGTTGTGTGGCATGAGAGGTCATAATAGGACTACTTGCAAGGCAAAAGGCAAACAAGTATGGCCCTTGTTAATTCCTTACTATTTTTCTTAACTGTTAGTGGAGGTCTTTTGTTAACTGGTCTTATTGCATGAAGGTACAAGAACCAGAGGGAGGTGAAGTCAATGAAGAGCTGCAAGAACCTGGACATCATTACCATCAAGAGCAATGCCATGATGTGGTAGTTGAGACACAAGTCCCAGACTTTGTACTAAATGAAATGGTAAGTAATATAAACCCCTTTGACACTGCCCAGTGCATATAATTTGTTGTTTATAATTTTTTGTGCTCATATTTTCAGGAAGCAATGTCATCCCAACCATCACAAGCCATTGAAGGAAAAAATGTGATCCCAAACATGTCAAACTTTATCTCTTCAGACATATCATCTCAAGCTCTTGATCATGGGATTACCACTAGAAGGAAGAAATATGTAACTGTTGGAGGACTTAAAAGCATGAAGAAAAAATGACCTTTCAATGTTGGGAAACTATTTTGTAGGAGTATTGTGTAAGCTTAAATGTAATGTCTTTTGGTGTAAGTTTGCAAACTTTTTTGTGTAAGCTTAAATGTTATGTCTTTTGGTATAAGTTTGCAAACTTTTTTATGTAAGCTTAAATGTTATGTCTTTTGGTATAAGTTTGCAAACTAGTTTGTAAGATGATGACCATGTAGTAATATTACTTTTTGTAAGATGGTGAATTGGTTATGTTAATGGCAATATTGGAGCATTTTATGGAGCAGGTTATGTGAACTCTCAAAGTGGAGCAGTTTTTTTGTAATTTGTCTTGATTATATACACATATTGTCAAAATGAAGACTTAACCATCCACTGTCAAAATGAACACTTAACCATCCACTGTCAACTGTCAAAATTAACACTTATCATTAACCATCACAAGCTAATTCATTACACCATCCACTACTGAAAAACAAACTACACCTGATTACAGTACTACTTAAGCTGCAATAACCCTACATTTGCTACATCAGTTTTCATCCATGTATTCATAAAAAGGAGTGCAAATACAAAATCAATTCCAAATCCATACAAAAACTTAAAATTGGACTCTCAAATCTTCTTATTGAATTCATGATCTTTTTTCTCAATTGTCAATTGCAGCTTGTAAATTTCCTTCTCATACTTGTCTACCCTCTTCAACAATCCTCTAATGACATTTGCTACACGATCGGAGCATCATAGTCCATCCATTCAAAATACCTGCAATTCTCATTTCCTTGAGCAGAACTCACACTGTCAAAATCGAATTACATTACAATATTTAACCTAAATATTCCCTAAATTTACCACTTACCCCGTATATTGGACATGCCCTATATCTCTTCCCTGGGTTAGCATAACTCCAAGACATCTTCATTGGAGCCAAATATCCGCATCTACATCGCACCTCTGCCATGAATTCAGATGAAGAACTGTTGTTGCAAGACATTATCTTTCTTCTTCGTTGCTTGGAGTCTTCAATCTCTTCGAATCTGCTCTTTGTTTCAGAACTACGGCTCTCTGTTTAATAAGGCCTCTTCGAGGAGTTTAGTTGAAGAAGAAGAAGACTAAAGCAATTAAATAGGGCAATAAGAAGAAGACCAAAAAGTGAAATGACTATATTACCCATGCCAAATCGGAGCTATCGCCGGATTTTCCACGGGCTACGGTCGGAGGGGCCAAATCAACTAAAAACAGTTATTTTCAGGGACTAAATCGATGATTTCGCAATTAAGGGACTACATTGATATTTTGCTAACTATTGAGGGACCAAATCATTGATTTTCCCTTATATATATAAATATAAGAGAAGTAATATATATATATATATATATATATATATATATATATATATATATATATATATATATATATATATATATATATATATATATATATATATATATATTAAAATGGTCTATCAGCAATGTTAGTGTTTTTATTCTTGTCCATTTTAAAGTTATTTTCACATGAATTCCCAGGAAAAAAAAAAAAAAAACAAGCAAACATACAAACAGAAAAACAAAAAGCGCAAATTATGCTGTGCAACCGAATGCACCTTGCAAGGTGCATACGGTTGCAAAACGGCGTCGTTTTGGTTAAAAAAAAAAACGCGCGTCCCACTTAAAGAAGAAATCAGATTCGATTCCCGGTAATAGCATTTTTATATAACCACAATTTCATAACTATATAACCACAATTCCATAACTATATAACCACAATTTCATAACTATATATCCACAGTGAATGAATGAAGTAAAAATCCACAATGAATGAATGAATGAAGTAAAAATCAACAATGAATGAATGAATGAAGTAAAAATCCACAATGAATGAACTAAATATCCACAATATATGATTGAACTAAATATCCACAATGAATGAACTATATAACCACAATTTCATAACTATATATCCACAATTTCATAACTATATATCCACAGTGAATGAATGAAGTAAAAATCCACAATGAATGAATGAATGAAGTAAAAATCCACAATGAATGAATAAATGAAGTAAAAATCCACAATGAATGAATGAATGAATGAAGTAAAAATCCACAATGAATGAACTAACTATCCACAATATATGATTGAACTAAATATCCACAATGAATGAACTATATAACCACAATTTCATAACTATATAACCACAATTTCATAACTATATATCCACAATTTCATAGTTATATATCCACAATAATGCTATTGCTGAGAATCGAACCTGATTTTTTTTTTTTAAAGTGGGACGCGCGTTTGTAGTCAAAACGACGTCGTTTTGAACCGTATGTACCATGCGCATGGTACATTCGGTTGCACAGCATAACTATTGAACAAAAAGTTTGTGGGCTGACCCGCGGAGCCCGTCAACTTGCGTGGAGTGGGCTAGGGTTACATGAACCCTAGCCCGTGGATATATCCTTGAAATTAATCTCATGAGAAAAAAGGATTTTTGTTTAAAACCCTAGATGTGATCGAATTATTCTTCTCCGGTGGTGCAAAGTTGACAAGTATGATCTGATCTTGCGGCAAAAAAAGTCAAAAGGTAACTTTTAGGTAAAGATTGAAAGTTTAGGATAGAAAAGGTGCAGCTTAATTTGGATTGTGAGGGGGGCAGTAGCGACAAAATGGCTTTAATTAAATTAGCATTACGCTCCTCGGATGAATCCAACTTATTTGACAATTTGTGTGACGAATTGGTGGTCCAAATACTTGCAAGACTACACACAACAGCGGCCGTTGGATCCCAAGTGGTTTGCAAACGCTGGTTTTCTCTCATCTCTTCTCCTTACTTTATTGCCAGCTTCCGTCACCATCATAACCATACAGATAATGTTGAGTCAAGCCTTGTTTTCCGATGCCATTCTCACTTCCAAATCATCTCCAACTCTTCTTTATTACGAAAGGTGTACGGCCGACAGAGTGTATTCCGTTTAAGTTATCTCCCATGTTCCCCTACACAGCTTCGATTGGAAGCCTCCTTTGCTGACTTAATCTTATGCTCTCGCCTTATTACCCTTACCAACAAAATTGATTATTATGTCTCCAATCCGCTCACCAAACAATGGATTGCTCTCCCTCCAGCTGCCGATGAGGGCTTATTATCGGAGTGTGTCTCAATTGGCTTTTTATGTGTGGAGGATACTTGTCATCATAACAAGTTCACGGTGGTGAGGCTTTGTACGGGTCATTATAATACTGCTTGTACACCTTGTTCCCAGTTTAAAGTCCAAGTCTTTTCTTCAGAGAAGTGGCTATGGAGGACTTTGGTTGTTTCATCCCCTCTCACCTTGAAGCCCTATATAGGTAGAATTCTTCTTGTTGCCTATAGAGGGATGCTGCATTGGCTAACCGGTGATTGTATCGTGGTGTATGATCCACTTAATACCCCGGAAAGATTTTCTCGTGTCATTGGTCTTCCAAATCAAATATTTCCCCTCAATATTTACAGACATAATTGCATTGGAGTAAGTCAAGGTTATCTTCGTGTAGTGCAAGTTTCAGATGAATATACAATAGATCCCATAATGGATGTATGGGAACTGGAGGACTATGACTCTGGGCGGTGGATTTTGGTTCACAAGGTTCACCTTAGAAATATGATTCATAATGGGGTACTGGAAAGTTTGGAGAGTGAATTGCGTTGTTTCAATGTACTAAGTCTCCATCTTGAAACAGTAATTGTGTTGAACTGAAACTGCAGTGTATACAAAATGAAACTGAATAACAAGAGTTACTTTTTGCGAAAGGGTGCGAAATGAGTATTGTTTCTTTTCATTAAACAAAACGACGTGTTTTGAAGTTCGGTGCATAATCCATTATGCACGGTGCACAATATAATTTGTCAAATTATACCATGCATCAAGGTTAAAAATAACATTTAGTTGTCTGTCTATAATTGACATATTCTGTACTTACAATTAACTATTTATGTACCTATAAATAAATTGAAAGCGCGTAACATGTTAATTATGTAAGATTTTCCCTAGGGCCTTAATTAAGTGGTGCAAGTGGACTAGGCTTATTAAGTGGTCTGGTTGGACTGAATAACGAAAAGTTGTTAGTCCACCAAACTCTATGCCTAATATAATCCTGGATTGATGGGATACAGGATGATTGATGTTAGCACATTCAGTTATGGTACTCATACTGCTCAGTAAACACCAATACACTATCTAGGGTTCTGAGTCTAGTCTGAGGCAAAACACGGCTAACGGTCTACCGTTAAGGCAATCACTAGTACAAAAAGAGCCATACGCGTCTTTAAAAGTAAAGACGCGTATGGCGCAGACACTGAAAGTTGGCAACTTTACGCGTCTTTACTTCGTAGTCGCGTAAAGTGGACTATACGCGTCTTTTCCTAGAAGGTAAAGACGCCCATACTGTAATATTTTTTTTAATATTTATTATAATTCAATAGTATCCTGTACTAATATTTGCTCCAACAGAAAATTCCACTACCAAACAACATTTATATGGTTCTAACCATTCAACACAATATATATAATCCAACATACATAATTGTCTAACACAATATAATCATCCAACATCATAATTGTCTAACGCAAAATAATAATCCAACATTAATATATCATAATATATACAATGTAATTCCATCTAGTGCACCTAATAAACATTTATATGCACTCATTTACAAAATAGTTTATCCATAACCTTCGTATCTCATCTATTTCATCCTTAGAATAAGCATTTGTGTCTTGATATGCCTACAAAATTTTGGATAATTAAAAAAAAACAATGAGTATATATACTATAAAATATCTTTCAAAAAAAATATACTATAAAATATTATAATAATTAAAAATATTTAAATTGTACTCCCTCCGTCCCATTTTATCTGTCTTACTTTCCTTTTTAGTTTGTCCCATAATGTTGTCCACTTTCCAAAATTAAACATCACTATCATTCTACTTTTCCAAATTTGCCCTTATGTGTATTTCATACTTTTATGTTAATTTATTGTTCTTTGTACTATCTAGCACTTATTCTAGTAAATATGATAAGACTATTTTTATTTATTTTACCTACTTTTTTACTCTTTATTTAAACAACCAAGATAATTTTGTTCTTCAATTTTAATTTTTCGTTCTTTATGAGCTAAATTAGTTGTGAACATTGTTATGGAAAAAAAAAATGACGAAATCAATAACTGATATAGAACCGATAAATTTTTTTATTTTAGATCAATTATCGGTTACTCCTATTAGTTTTAATTGATAAATTTGCGGTCAAAAAATTTCGTTATTTGATAAAACAATTATGAACGTTCAAAATTTTGATTATTCCATGAATTGATTTTAAATGGGCTATGAGAGTTAAATTAGTGGTGAGCATTCTTACCGGGAAAAAAAATGACCAAATCAATAACCGATATCGAATCGATCAAAAAATTTTGTTTTCGAACAATTATCAGTTACTCCGTACTCCGTATTAGTTTTAATTGATAAATTTGCGGTCAAAAAATTTTCGTTATTTGATAAACTAATTATAAACGATCAAAATTTCGATTATTGAATGAATTGATTTTAAATGGGTTATGAGAGCTAAATTAGTGCGGGGTGAGCATTCTTATTGAAAAAAAAAATGACGAAATCAATAACCGATATCGAATCGATCAAAATTTTTTGTTTTCGATCAATTATCGGTTACTCCGTATTAGTTTTAATTGATAAATTTGCGGTCAAAAAATTTTCGTTATTTGATAAACCAATTATAAACATTCAAAATTTTGATTATTCATTGAATTGATAAATGGGTTATGATAGCTAAATTAGTGGTGAGCATTTTCACTGATAAAAAAAATGACGAAATCAATAACCGATATCGAATCGATCAAAAAATTTTGTTTTCGATCAATTATCGGTTACTCCGTATTAACTTTAATTGATAAATTTGCGATCAAAAAATTTTCGTTATTTGATAAACCAATTATGAACGTTCAAATTTTTTATTATTCCATGAACTGATTTTAAATAGGTTATGAGAGTTAAATTAGTGGTGAGCATTCTTACCGGAAAAAAATTACGAAATCAATAACCGATACCGAATCGATCAAAATTTTTTGTTTTCGATCAATTATCGGTTACTCCGTATTAGTTTTAATTGATAAATTTGCAGTCAAAAAATTTTCGTTATTTGATAAACCAATTATGAAAGTTCAAATTTTCGATTATTGGATGAATTGATTTTAAATGAGTTTTGAGAGCTAAATTAGTGGTGAGCTAGCATTCTCACCGGCGAAAAAAAATGACGAAATAAAAAACCGAAATTGAATCGATAATTTTTTTTTTTGTTTTTGATCAATTATCAATTTTTTAGGTAATTGACATAACCAACTGAAAACTAAACTTCAGGCAATACATAAATAGATCCTTCTGCAATCCTTAAAAAAAAAACTCACAGATAGATCATTCTTGATCAATCTGTAAGCTAAATGCATAAATAGAATACATTCTGCAATCCTTAAAAAACATTTAAAATAGCTAGATAACATGCATGAATCAATTTATACAATGGATAAGCATTAAAATAAGCATTGCAGCCTTTAATTACAACACTCCTGATGAACAGAGTACATTCTGCATTTAAATAAGCATTACAACCATTAATTACAAGGATCAATTTATACAAAATGAGCAAAATAGACCATTCTAATCATCATAGTGTCTCCTGCTATACCCCTAAACACAAAATACATTACTAAAAGTAGCAGTGCTAGATACAAATGTTCACAAAAAATACAACTACAAGTACACTTCATACCAAGCAACCTCATTCAATACTTTCTTGCTGGAGACTTGAAATTGCTTCAATTAAAAGTTCTGGATCACATGAGATAGTGGTAGGTAATAAGCCTTCTCTTGCTAATTTTTGCTTATTTATGTGTGGCAGCTTATAATTGTTCCCACCGAACTTTTTCATAACTTCAACCATACATAATTGCAATGTTAGAAAAACATTACTCAAACTTTCTACTGAAATCTCATTAAAGGCTTTATGAGTAGCAGCAACTAGTTCATCCACATTGCGAGGAGCTTCTTGATGTTGTAAAGACTGAAGAGCTCTAAAAAAACCGAGATCCAATACATTCATGTCCGGACTATTGGGAGGCTGACAAGTTAAGTGAATATCAAAGCCATCTTTCTTTGCAGCCTCCAAAAATTCAACATCATTCATACTAATATGTGGCCTTGCATTATCTTGTTGAATATATATAGTCTTTGAACTACTTGGAGGCCATTTTGCTCGTATTGCAGGCAACACATAATCAATCAACCATTTTCTTGTAACTTCTTTATTTACAGATTCAATGGGCTTAGTTTCTAAGGTTCCAGCTTCCCGATTCTTACTTCTACGCTTAGCTGGTTCTTTATAAACAAATGGGAACATCCCAATTTTTCCATCAAACATTTCATTTCTTTCTAAATCAAACCGAGGGCGAGCAACAGCACAAAGAAACATAACTTTTGTTATAAATTTTTTACTTTTACAAGTACGATATGGTTCATCTTCCTCAGGCAGCAAGTAATACTTTTGAGAAGTTCTTGAGAGGAAAAACCATTTTTCATCTATATGAACGCGGTCATACATATCTATGAAACATGGATTATTATGAGGTGAACTTGAATCAATCATAGATATGCAGAATTGTAATCTTACCTTCCGGTTTTCCTCGGTTAACATAGGCTTGATAGCATTTGAGTGGGATTTCAAAGATCCCTCTTTAACTCTCCGGTGAAGGCTTGTTTTTGACATGCTCAGTGCACTAGCCACAGAACGAATTGTTGTCCGGTGATTCAATGGGATCCTAGCAACATCGTCGGGATTAATCGCAATCCTTTTCCTTCCAACATTGCCTGACAAGTTTAAAGAAATATCAACTGGAACACCATTTGCAACACAAGCAATCCCTTTTTTCCAAATTCTACTAACAGTTCTTGTAGAAACAGAGTACATTTTTGCAACATCTTTAACTGAACCATATTTTACTTTTCCATTCACACTGTGTTTTAACAAAGTTTCAAAAATAACACTTCTCTTATCCTGGGAACATCTCGTGCTTAAGTGAACACCATTAGAACTCTCCTCTTGTATAAACTCCATTAGCAAGACAAGAATTTTTTTTTTCTCTATAATACAGAAAACGTGTGAAGTATTCTGAGAAACAAATAAAAAAAAAAATTGCTTCCTAGAAACGCAGTATATATAGTGAGTACTAAGTATTCTATTGACCATAAGGTAACCAAAATAGAGTATTTTAATCTGTAAATGTCATATCAAAAATTGGCGGAAAATTTTCCCGCAATTTTTTCTCAATTTTGGTGATCCTACTACATCTATATAAACAGAAACTACTGAGTAATTTTTCATTGAGAAGTAGAGAATAAAAAAGAGTGCTCTGTATAATCATCAAAATTGAGTATAAAAAAGAGTAAAAAAAGATTCAGAATTACAGAATTTTTTTCTTTTCGTGCTATGTATTTCAATTTTTAGGGATTTGAGATTCAGTCCACTTTTTTTCTTAAAAAAAAAAAAAAAAAAAAAAAAAAACCTAGATTGAAAGAGAACTAAGAATAATTTTTCAAAAGTTTTAATGTGATAATTTGTAGGAAAACTTCATAGATTGAGTGTAGAACACTAACCTTGGTATCAATTTTTAAAATTGATTGAAAAATTGCAAAACCCATGCTCCAATTTCATCAAAACTCCATATGCTTGCGTTGAAATCTCTACGAAATTAGGATCTTCAATATCTTCCCGTATGAGTATGGCGATGTAGATCTTTGAGCAACAACACATGAAGACTTTGAGTGGATGGAGAATAAATTGGGACTTTGAGTGGCTGGAGAAAAAATTAGAACTAGAGAGAGAGGTATTGAGTAATGAAAGAGAGACAGAGAACGGGAGAGAAAGTGAGAGAAGAAAAAGAAAAAGTGTACGGTTGTTCTAGGCTTCTGGCTAGTGGGTTATTGAATGTCTGGTGAGAGAAAAAAGAGAGGGGTAAAAGTGGAAGAAAATTTACTTTTAATTTGCTACCTAAAAAATCGTGCAAAATGAAAAGAAGACATGGAATTCGGGACTGAGGGAGTATCACTTTGTACTCACCTCATCCAACGAAGTGTAGTTATGAAATTTTGTGCATATATCATATATGAACCTCATAACGTAGTATCCACATTCATCACTACCGGGTTGTTGAGGACACTAAAAGAAAACCACGTACACATGTATATATATATAGATATATGTATGTATTAGTTAATTGAAATATAACTAAGTAAAATTTTTATAGTAAACAATCATATTTTTTTTTATACCTTCACATATTTCCAATTAGCATTACCCATAATCCTTTGCCCTCGTTGAATTGCAGAGGTTCGAAAAGCCCTATTATTAATGTATATATATAGAAATAACTTAATTGCCAATTAAATAATACTAAACTTATGAAAAAGACATAATTTGAAGTACATAACATTTTAATAGTTTTACTTACATATTCACGGCTTGTTTGACTTCAATTTTGCGCCTACAATTCAATGGATCTAATACGTATACGATTCTTGAACTTGCATGAAGCACGAGTAGTAACCAATGATTCCTACAGTTTTTAAACTTGTAAATTATAATTTTAATTTAAAATAATTCAAATGATACTATATGAATTTATAAAAAAAATTATTTTCTTACGCTTGATGGTATGGTGCTAAGATAAATATCTTGTCTTTCAGCGTAACCATGGTATTCCCAATGTATGCTGTAACAGCATCCTCATTTAAGTCAACATTTCCTTTCGCAAATTGCGTTGGACACATAAACCCAATTGAGTTGACTTCAAAGTCCTTGCATAGCTGATGAGCATACCTGAAATTACATATCCTAAAATAAGTTATTTGAAAACACAATAAATTTTTGAATTAATGAAACATATAAACTTACACTATAAAGACTTGAATAATAGACACATCAAGCCAATCCATCGTGAATAAGTCTTTAATATCTTCAATCATCACAAATATGTTACTCATATTTGTATGGTGAAAGATATCATAATCCAACCCCAACTCAAAATAATCCAAGTCTAAAGTCATTCTTCTTATCAAATTATGTAATCGTTTGCCACTTTTTCCCAAGGGTTGCAAGCCATCATCATCAATAAAAGGATGTCGTGCGCCAGTAGCAGACATGTCACATTGTTCCTCGCTTTGCTTGTTGCCTTTATTTTTATTAATTGCTGAATTTTTGATTATTTCTTCCTACAAAGAGAAATGTAAAGATTAAAAACAAAAATTTTTAATACAATTATAAAACAATAACAAATAATTACCTCTTCAATATTGACTAAATGTAAAGGCCATTGTGCAAATGATCCAACAATTTCTGCCAATGTTGTATGAAAACTTGTTGGTACAGGTATGCTAAGTGTTGTTGTTGCACTTGGAAGAAGCATATCAACCGAAACTTTTACATGAAGCGATAGTAATGGTTGACTATGCACCATAGTGTCAGGTCCACTAGGATAAAGTGTCCCGCTTGCAACAACCTCCGTAGTTGAATCTCCAATGTCACATAATACGGCTAAGCGACATGGAATTGGACTCTATTTTATAACAAAAAAAAAAAGTGTTATTGTAAATATTGAAATAAAATATTTCATATTATAGAATAAGAAATATTACCTGAAGCATGCCAAATGGATATGAATCAACTGAATGACAACTACTACGGGTATTAAGTAGTGGTTCAGTAGGCATATGGACGCTCTGAGGTGTACCCACCGCTGATCTCCTAAAATCATTAGAAAATTGTTGGGGGAACTGTTGTGGCATGCTTTTCATCACAAGACTAAGTTGATATTTCAACATATCAATCTCATGTTGCACCTCTAGCAGTGTATCTTGTCTTACTTGTTTAGTAATGTCCAGCCTAACTTTCTCGGCAATATCTGAGTACAAATCTTTCTTGATAATCTCTCTAACGTCATCCACCGATACCACTCCACTCACTCTTTCCCGAGCCTTCTCTGGTTTGCCAAAAACTTTCCTTACATTAAGGTAACTGCCAACACCTCTAACATAACCAGAGAGATCTCCCTTCTTCTTATAAAGAACGGTAGACAATACATCATGTTGTCTACTTGCTTGAAATGACCCCTGACCTAGTTCTTCGACCTTTTCAACCTATTTCAATATATAATAAAACTACATTAAACTAAATAACATTTTAATATTATTTATAACCAAAGTATTCTCAAAAAGTCAATACTTACAATTTTCTCAACCACGCTCACTGTTTTCTCGTTGGGGATATAAAAATTTCCATCATCCCCTTTCTTCGATCGTGCTCGAACCCAATCAAGACTACGATCATTTGATGTAAGGGCCGAGCTAATAGAGGCACATGAGGACTGAGAAGATAAGGGATCAGATATAAGCCACCCTGGCCTTTTCCCTGCATATCCAACATTCCCTAAATAATGTGGATGTTCATTGAGCAATTGTTTTTCCCTTGCCTTTTTACTTTTTTCCTATTGAATCAAAATATATTATTAATATATGCATAACAATTACACATTTTTACTAACATAATCAATTAATTAAAAATACCTTGAACTCCTCCGTAGTGTGACTAGCTACAAATCTCTCCCATTGTTCATCATTCAAATATTCATATAACTCTGTGGGAGATGCATATCTTGGATGCTTCTTGTTTATATATTCACGTACTAATCTATTCTTGAAATCTTTCCACCTCTTCCCAGCAGCTTTGAGAACTATCTCCTTCTTCTCATCATTTTGAATGTTAAACTCTCTCTAAATAACAAAAAGAATGTATAATTAGTTTGCAAATATAAACTATTTATACCATTATATAATCAACATTAATAACAGTTAAATACCTTAACCTCATCCCAAATGGTATCCTTCAGTCCTTGTTCAACTTTATGCCAATCGGATATATTAATGTCTACATGACATCGAACTGATGTGCCAATATAAGACTTGAATTGCTTTCCATATTCACCGATTGCTTTATCATTCTCATCAAACTCAACTGTAATAACTTCATCTACCTTTTTCTTTTTGAGCATTTTCTTGCAAGTTGTGGGTCCTCTCGTCTTAGATTTAGATATAGATTGTGAAGGACCTTGCGATGTAGACTGTGAAGGACCTTGCGGAGCAGAATGTGATGGATTTGCCATATCTGTGTATATATAACTGCACAAAAAAAGAAAAGAATATTATTTATACCACACAAGAATTATTCACAAATAACATAAAATTATAAATTAATCTTACACTTTAAAATTTTATATTCGATTGTCAATCCACAATCCCTCTCCATGATCACTACGCATATAACTGATGTCAGTAAGATCTTCACTCGGAGTTAAAGATTGAATACCAATAGAAAATGGAGGAGTTTCATCAAAATGGTCATACTCTTCTTCATCCACGACATCACCAACACCAACGATACTTCTTTTGCCTTGTAATACAATGGACCACTTAGTATCAACAGGATCAGAAACATAAAAGACCTGTTTTGCTTGTGATGCAAGTATGAATGGCTCATCGTGATAACCAAGTCGACTAAAATCAACTAAAGTAAACCCCAATTCATCTACCCGAACACCTCTTCTATTCTCAACCCAACTACATCGAAACAAAGGAATTTTAAACACCTTATAATCAAGTTCCCAAATTTCTTGAATAACACCATAGTACGACATAGCAGCATCAACTGGTTTGGCATCTTTAGCACTAGAATAATCTCTTGATAGAGCTATTAATGTAACTCCACTATTTTGCATTGTACTCTTATCATCTTGGTGTTTGGTGTAAAATGTATACCCATTAATATCATACCCTTCATAACAACTCACATGCAAAGCAGGACCGTATGCCAACCATTTTATGGTTTCAGTAATATTATTTGGCACTTGTGACAACTCTTGCATTACTGTATCTTTGAACCATCTTATAAATGACCGGAAGCTTTACGTCGCCGAACTTACATTTTCACCCACCGCCGAACGTACATCGTCACCCACCGCCGGAACTACATCGTCACCCACTGTCGGAGTTGCGGCTGCTTTTCTGAAGATGATACTGCTGCCTTCCCGGAGCTAGCTACGACAAACAAAATATCAAGATGCATGTGGAGCTAACAAAGAAGCAAAAAGATGAAGTGGTGGAGCTGCGCTGAAACCTTAAACTATTAAGCTTAAACTATTAGGCTTACCAATGTACACGATGAAGCTAAGGAAACAAGAAGAAGAAGAAAGTAGTGAACGAAAGAGTGGAGCTGCGTTGTAGAAGGCTGTAGAAGTGAAAGATGTATGTGAAAACCTAAGTGTGAAAGTGAAAAAGTAAATGATGTAGATAAAAATAAATTATTTTTTAATGCCCAGCTATACAAGTCTTGGCTTGATATATCAAGCAGTGTAAAATAATTGCAATTAAAAAAAATAAAAAATCGACACATTACGCGTCTGTACTAGGTAAGTATAGACGTGTAAAGTTGTCAACATATTTACAAAATTGCCACCGCGTTTTTTTTTTAATTATTTTACTAGTCTTTAGTTACCTAGTAAAGACCTGTATTGTTACATTTTTTTGGTCAATTCTCTACTAGTGACAACAGAAATATCAGCCATGGCTGAAGATCAACACGGCTACGCTTCCACCCTCATACGAGGTCAGGTTTCTCGTATACTATGGTTCATTATAGTTAGACTATTTAGATCTAACATTTGGTATCAGAGCCTTTATAATCTCTGCCTGGTTGATTGTTATTGTTTAAAAATCAACACTAATTTCATATACATAAAGTTTTGTATATACTTTGGTTTTCAAGTACATTCATCCTAATTTATCAAAATATGCATAGAAAATATATCTTTTTGATATAATTAAGCAAAATATTATGTATATTTTGAATGTATTATTTGTATAATTGGTTTAAGACGGTCAAAAATTAATTTTAGTTGATTTTGTTAAGTTTTAATTATTACTAACTGCCATATTTTGGTATTCATCGTTGGTAATAATATTAAGTTTTGGGTCTATTTCAGCACTAAGACCATTTTCATCCATGTTATAATTCACTTGGGCCATTAAGGTTTGTGAGCCTATTTTGAGTGATTGTGCTATAATTATTGTCTTGGCATGTTTTGAGACATTAAGGATTTAAGGATTTAATTGTTATTTTGGCCAAGAATCACAAACTATTGTTTAAGTTGATTATCTCTTTAATATATTAATAGTTTTCAGGTGCCTTAATAATGATATTAAGTCTTTAATTTTATGGCAAAAGCAATATAGTTGGTATATTGTCTGTATAGTGGTAATTTGGTTATTACCTTAACTTCAGTCTCCCTAAGTATCATAATAGTCATGATTAATTATTATATGGTAAATTGATATTAGTATTTGACATCCCTTAATTACAGTTTTGTCTTTATTGTAGTTATTATTAATTGGCATTATTAATTACTGTTATTAAGTTTAGGGACTAATCTTATTTTATTACCTTTCATAATAATTATTATTTCATGGTAATCTGCTATATTTAGTACATTGGCATGATTACCACTTCATTTTACATGACTATTAATGTTGGTAATTAAGTCCTACCAATAAATTTTTAAATGTACCATTGGACGCTGCATCGAGGCTACTGACACCGACAGTGAAGATGGGAGAACTCTGGAGTTTTTATTCTCTTGTGGATCATCATCGTTGTTAGCGCAATGGGGAGGTGCGTTTTGCATCATTAAGGTCAGCCGGTAATTATCTTTTACGTTATTATTGATAATTAGTGCTACAGTTACAGTTAACCGCTAATTTGGACTAGTCACATATTTTATCTTTAGAAAAATGGAAACATTAAAAGTGCATTACCATACTTTAGTTTGTCATTACTAATGTTAATAGTAATTATAATGTTACTTATTGCTATTAATAATTAATTAATGATAACATTAATATTGTTATGGTATTCAGATATGTATCTTAAACTGTTTTCAAATAAATTTATGTGACAATATTCCAGTCAGAAAATAATTTTCTTGACATTAAGGTTTTTTCGGACTTCAAATTTTATTAAGTTTTCAAAATTTGATCTGAAAACGTTTATAAATGTTAGCGGTTTTAATATTTGTTTTTCCATATTTAGTCTCCTACTTAATGTAATAATATTATTATGCCTATTTATTGCCATTCTGGTTATTTGCAATTGTGCCATTAATAATAATATTATTATTAACTGGGTTATGGAGAGTGATTTTGAATCAATTTAGTAATTTTGGAAAAACATATTTTCTAGCCAATTGACTTTTGCCATTAATTCCATAATTCATTTAGTTCTTTGAATTATGATTGTTCATATTTGGTTAAGTATGAATAATTGAATAAATGAATATTTGGTGTAAATTCATATTCTTTAGATTGTTTTATGCATCCGATCACATTAAGTGCATAATATTAAGTTTAATTATGCAATCAGGGCTTGCGAGATTTTGATTTACAAATTATAGCATATCCTCTTGGTTTGATATTGTTTGAATTTGTAAATTCAGTTATTTCTCATACATTTGATCTTTATGCATTAAAACATTTTGACATGGGCTTATAGTTAAAAAATAATAATAAATAAATAAATAAAATTCAAAGTATATATCCAGTACATTATTATTCAAAATGTTGGGTCTCTTTTGGTTTGGACTCATTGGTGTTTGAATATTAAATTTATACTTTGAAATCTCATATTGTAAATTGCTTTAAGTTATTGTTAGGAATATAGCGGAATAATGCGAAAGCGAAGAATCGAAAATTGAGAATTATAGAAGTTAAATAATAGGGAAAATATATAAATGAAGAAAATTATAGAAATGACAAATAAATTAATAAGATTGGGAAAATATAAATATATATATTAATCTCTATAAAGAGAAAGATAAATAATATATATATATATATATATATATATATATATATATATATATATAATACTCTACGTGGGGACAAAAAAGAAATAGGAAGGATGAATTGATAATGATTGATGCATTTAAAGCAACAAACTAAGCACCTATTTATACAATGATTTCGAACAAATGTTGCGACAATTTTGTGGAAATCCGATACATTCGGCAAACATGCAAGAGAAGTGGACATGGAGCATGCGTTGCCTACGGTTGAAAGAAAAGACTTCAAGGATGAATTTTAGCCACAAAATATTACTCATGTCCTAACAATCTCCACCTGGGATCAAATTCATCGTGAAATTAACAACTGGAACAGTCGACTAAACTCAAATGCTGCTTGAACTTAGCAATAGGAAGAACCTCAAAATAGCAGGATGGATCACCATCAACTTCCTATGCGACTGAAAGAGCATAAGCAACCATGTTGGTTTCATCATCACTAGCATACCTAGCAGGTTTTTTAATTGTCCTCCTAGGACGATCCATAGCAATGCAATACTCTCGCTGTGGCTCGACGAGAGGTGCGACGCTAGTAGATGCATCATCTTTAGTATTACCATTAGCAGTAGTAACACTATCAATAGGCCTGAACTCAAACTCCACCTTCTCACCAGTACTCTGCGTCTCACCTGTACTGGGAACTTTTCCAGAAGAAAGTAGTGCATTTTCATCAAAAGTGATATCTCGACTCAGAATGATTTTCTGAGAATCAGGAGACCATAGACGATACCCTTTTGATTCAGAGGCATAACCAAGGAAAATGCATTTGAGAGCTCTCGGGTTTAATTTACCCGTACTGGAATGAGCATATGCAGGACATCCAAAAACTCTTAAGATAGAGTAATCAACAGGATTACCTGACCAAACTTCCTCTGGAATTTTGAAATCAAGGGATGAATGTGGAGATCTATTTACCAAATAGCAAGCAGTAGAAACGGCCTCGGCCCAAAAATCACGCCGTTTCCATAACCCAGCATTAGAGAGCATACAACGAGCTCTTTCCAATAGAGTCCTGTTCAAACGTTCGGCAACACCATTTTGCTGGGGTTTACCAGGCAAGGTCTTGTGCCTGGCGATTCCATTTGCCGCACAAAAGTCATTGAAATCTGACTCACAGAACTCCAAGCCATTGTCTGTCCTGAGCTTCTTGACTTTTTTACCTGTCTGAGTCTCAACAAGTATTTTCCACTTCTTGAAAATAGAAAATGCCTGAT